TTATAGCTGCAAATATATTACTAACTGCTGAAGGAAAAGTTCAATTATGTGATTTTGGAGTAGCAGGGCAATTAACTGCATCTTCATCAAAAAGGACATCGTTCGTTGGTACACCGTATCCTTTCTATTTATATATACATAAATGAATTTGTTTGTTTTAAAAAAAAATTTTTTTATTCCTTAATATTTTTAAAATTTTAGATATTGGATGGCACCGGAAGTGATTATTGAGGGTGCAACCTATGATATGAAAGTATGTAATAGAAAAAAAAAATAAGAAAAAAAAAATTATATAATTTTATTTATTATTTACAAAAAATATGTTTTTTTAAAAAAAGGCTGATATATGGTCTTTAGGAATTACTGTATATGAAATTGCTACAGGAAATCCACCTTATCATGATCAAAGCGCAATGAGAGCAATACAATTGATTCCAAGGAATCCACCAGCCCAATTAGAGGGTCCTTATTCAATACCTTTAAAGGAATTTGTTTCGTTATGTCTTAATGAATGCCCTGAACAAGTAAATATACATAATGTAGTATATAATATAATATAATATTTAATTAATCAATTAATCAATTTATTATCATTATTATTATCATCATCATCATCATCATTATTATTAAATAGCGTCCGGCAGCAGATGAATTAATAAAATGCAAATTTATAAAAAGTATAAGCAAGCATCAAACTGGGATATTAAGAGATCTCATTGCGAGATTTGATTTATGGAAACAAACAACAGGGTATCGTCAATCATTTTCAGATCCATATGGAACACCTTCAAGGTAACTATTGATTGTTTTTTTTTTTTTTTTAATTGAGAATAATAATACAACTTTTTTAAACAATTAAATAAAAATTATATATTATATATAGCGAAAGTGATTCTTGTGATATTGGAGATAATGACGACGATGAGGATGCTTGGATTTTCGATGTAAGTCTGTGATTTTTTACAGTTAATTAATTAGTTAAAATTATTCACGTAAAAAAAATTGATTTTCAACAACAAATAGACAGTGCAAAATACGGCGAATACAGCGATACATCGTAAATCACATTCTTTAGGATCACTTGCAAGTAATTTGGATAAATTGTCACCTGTGATTGAAGGCGATGAACATTCAACAGCGCTAGATAAAAATATTAATAGTAGTAGTAATAGTGTTACTACTAATAATAATAATGTT